CGTTACGTACGTACACGGTAACGGTAAACCGGAACCGGTAACGGTAACGTACCGGTAACGTACCGTACGCGTACCGTACGTACGCGTCTCTCTCTCTCTCTCTCTCTCTCTCTCTCTCTCTCTCTCTCTCTCTCTCTCTCTCTCTCTCTCTCTCTCTCTCTCTCTCCCTCTCTCTTCCTTTCTATTCGAGCACCCATAAGGTGATAAATTGCGAAAGAAACCCGTGATGGGGAACTATAGAGATGAACGCCGCACGTTGGCTCTGCAGGCAGTTCACGCTGGTATGTATATGTATAATCCACGTCATATGCGACCACATGCAGAGACAGCAGCTCGAGTACTCCCGTAGGTCGGCCGTTCTCACATAAAATTAAGATATGTATATAAATCCTATAACAATAACTATATTATAACTATCACTATAAATCCGTGTATATAAAATGTTATACGAACGTTAATGATAACACTACAAGTTCAGAAGAAACTCTACGAGATTGTGCAGTATACAAAGAGACCACTTTAAATGAAACTGAACTACCCGTGACATCAGACGAATAGCGTTATGAAAATAATTCATAATAAAATAATTTCATAATTATAATCATGAAAATAAGATGGCAGCTAGGGGATGTTGTTTAAATTCCTCTCGCGATATAAAACCCTTAGCATTAGAGAACCAAAGGGCATCAACCTTTTTCGGAAGGTTGGCTTTAACATTAAGCTCAATGTCCAGATTTGCGCTATATACCGATAATCGCTGGAAGCCGAAGAGTTTACATCAGTGCGTACGTGGTATGTGGTAGAAGCTGCCATAGACACTGTATACGCTAATCTGCATTTTTGCTGATCACCATTAATTTTGATTAGAATTGTTAGCTCCCTAATATTTTGGACTTAATTTGGCAACGTAGCAATAGCACTAGTATTCACTGGAAGAAGAAGAAAACGACCGACAGCTAGGCATAACGCGCACTGGGGCGCTTTGCTCTAACCGAAGGTAGTGTTGTCCCGACGAAAGGACGAAACGGCAATGCAACATCCATATTTTTTTTATCTTTAGACAAGAGAACCCCTGGCAGCGCCTGTACGTGAAATTTAGCGTGAGGGTTTCAGGAATAGTACTAGAGTTCAGTGTTCCTTCCAAGCTGTGTGTGCGCGCGCACACACGTTTTGCAACCAGAGCACAAAAGGTTAGTTACCTAAAATAATGTAGTAATTAATAACTATACTTATACTATAGTTAATAATAAGTATAGAATAAAATCTTAACTAAACACGTTACTTCGTAAAATGCAATCATACTTGTATTATATTAAAACATGCCAATACAGTTTTATTAGCCATGAGAGATATGCTGTGCCAAAATTATCTTGATACAATTTCAAGTTTACATTTGCACAACCATTCAGTGCGCACATACTTTTGTTACAGGAAAAAAAATTGCACATCATAAGATTTTTGCGCACACTGACTACTAATGATTAGAGGGAACATTGCTAGAGTTGTACCCAATTTATCTCTAAGTCTTTTCCTAAGTCAATACATCTTCTTCGAGTCCGGATCTGGAATTCAAATCAGGTAGTGGCAGTGTTCCGCACAGTCGAGTAATTGCCGCCTGGCCCCCTTCGCGGAAGTCGGCTGCTGTATACTTTGTCTGGAGTGGGCATTCCATTAGATGTGCCATGGTTTGTGAAGCGCTGCATTCGCATGTGTTGGATCCCGCCGCGTATCTCGATCGGGCAAGGGTGCCTCGCCATTGCCCAGCCTGGAACCGTAATATCGTTGTACGACCGCCAAGTTGGTGGAGGCAGGTTTGCCGAAGTCATCTGTAGGCACTCGCGGGTTTGCTAGAAGAAGCTTTTGTCATAATTTCCACTCTGCCACTCGGTATTTCACAGACATTCGCGTATTCGCGATAGCTCCTTAATTGTTGCAAGGTACGCGGTACGGTGTTGATGAAACCTTGCCTGCTGGGCCATAGTAAGAAGAAAAACCCACGTGAGGGAAATCAGGTGTCAACATATCATGACCTAATCAGAATCTGTGAGTCTTCACCGTAGGAGTAGGAAATTCTTTTATTCGATAAGATTATACGCAGATGGGATGATTTTAAACTGTTAACTTGCACTTATTGGCCTTTTTTATTTTACTCTACAATCTTGGTGGAGCTAGCAGCTGTGTCATCTGCTTCTCCCACGCACGCCCCGCCAATCCCCTGCTACGTGGACTATAGAGGCGGTAATCTCCCACGTTACAAACATTCAGTAATCAGCTCTTTACAGACATTTATGTAGCGCAGTTCCACCCTCACAGAATAATTCAGGATAGCGGCCTGTAAATATATGCGTATTAAACTATAATTTTTAGTGACACCTGTATTTTTATTCACCTTTGTGGGGGAAATTACGTAGAAACAGCCTGCCAAATTAAAACCAGTCAACGGAAGGAGCCATTTACTCTAGGAAGTCAATAATGGGGAACGAGGTTGATGTTCATCCTTTTTGTGACCAGGGAGCGTAGTCCCACCCCAACCCTCCCGTTTGCTCTCTCTCTCTCTCTCTCTCTCTCTCTCTCTCTCTCTCTCTCTCTCTCTCTCTCTCTCTCTCTCTCTCACACGCGTTTATTACGGGTAAAACAAACCGTACAATCATCATAACCTATGGTGCGTCTACTATAAGCTTGACGTAATCTAGTAAAGAAATGCGTGTGTGATGACATTAAATGTGGGTGTGTGCGCGCATGCGCAGATACCTGCTGTCCGAGCTGTACAACGACATGATACCAATTAGTGCTCTGGAGAGGATCAACGCCATGCGGATGTCCGTCATAGACGAATCCCTAGCAGCACTTGACACTTGGCAGTATTGCCGCCAATACTCAAAATGTGTGTTCCTTGCGCCTGACACGCTGGTATGTCCCTCTCCTTCAACCTCTGTTCCACCTGTCTTTCTTCTAGCTCCCAACGCGCGCCTTTAAGGCTTGGCGCGCACGTTTTCCTCTCCCGTATACGAGATGTGATCTTGCATGTCACTTCAAACTACGTACTCTTTCCCTGCACACGATATACGCTGTTGCATGTTTCACATAATAATATGTAGATTACATGGATGAAAATGCGACATGTCATTCTCTCGCAGGTGCACCACAACATCGACCATCTGTTCGGCGAACCTCAACTCTCCGCTGTGGCCTACCATCGCCGGCCTCAGACGTTCCACAGCAGCGTCATGGTCGTAGAACCGACGGCCGCTCATAACACGTTCAAAAGGTTACAGAAATTGGCCCGAAATTGCGAGGATTCGCTCGACTTTAGCAGTAAGTGACTATAATTCTACGTGGAGAGAGGGGTAGGGGAATCTAAGCGCAAGCTCTAAACGCGGTCAATTCTATAGTGTCTCGTCTACCGGCAATAAGTTACTTGACATATTGACTACACGAAGTACGACCGAGAACCAAAATGCTCGATGTTGGCTATAGCCTATACCATCATTACGTTAAGTAACTCTTTAGCTAGATGAAGGATCCACCTGCTATGCTATCCACCTTTACATGCTGAACGCGCACACTACTAACACCGTGTGTATTTACGTAGTTGTTGTTGTTGTTAGGATCGGATATTTCTGGGTGTTAAGACGTGTCGCGTCGTATTCAGGTTGTGCCGACCAAATCCTCAATCGTCACTTTAAGAGATGGCACGAGCTGCCACCGACCTACTGCTCCGATGTCAACAGTTCGTTTGCCTACGTTCCTCCAGGAGGAGAGTAAGTCGGTTTATGCCATTATTTTCACGAGTATGTTTTAATAGTATGACATTGATATAATCATAATGAGTGGGGTACACGGCGTTACCCGGGTTCGTTTCTACTCATTAAACCGTACGTGCGGGTATTTTGGCTTACGTGAACCTTTTCTGATAAAAAACGATAAATCTATCGCGCGTGTGCAACTTTTATGGCGTTGTCTGTATTGTACTCATTACATGATTTTAATCGGAAAATAATTTGCTAGCCAAAGGCGTGCATATAGAACGAACTTATGTTAATTTTTATAGGATTGCATGATTAATTTGAATATCTGCATAAATTTCAGCTCTAACACGCTGTCTCCAGACATACGGGTCTCGTCGTTTTCTGGAAACACGTGGAAGCCGTGGATGCTAGCAGTTTGTGAAAAGGAGCGGAAGGTCGGTATAGTCGTTACCTAACAACTTACTATAACAGCTACTCAACTACTCTAACAGCTAAAGGAATATTAGTTATGATTATAGAATCTGACGTGAATTAACGCGAGAATTTATTATCGTCATCGTCGTTGTTTTCATCGGCGTCCTCATCATCGTCACTACCACAACTATGGCTATAACCGCAACTGAGACCGTGAACAGATATTAATGTTACGTAACGAAATACTTTCCAGGTTTTGTGCATGGGAGGTGGACAGGTTATCCCGCATCTTGAAAAGTGGGTTGCTATTTATGACAAGCACGTCCTACCCCTTCTCTCCCTCGAAACCGTTAGGTTTTTGGTACGTATATGAATTCTTACCTGTTGACAAATTGCTAATACATAAAATGGGGGAAAATTTATAAAAATTAGCAACAAAGTTGATCGTATTGTTACCGTATTATAATGATTTATTATACGTAATATATTATTTCCGTATTATATATTATGTGGATGGAATTATGGCGTCTGTCGCTCGCGGCATATCACGTACACCACTTACTTACATTAGAACAAGATCCCGAGACCTTTACCAAAATGGGAAAGGAGTGTCAACGCGATAGAAGAAAGTTCCGTGGCACCTCTAGAGAAGTTAGCGCTGGAGGAGGAGGTAACGCGGATGGTAAGTAAACCAAGGCTTGAATCTGTACGAACCTATAATAAACACGTATGAACCTATAATAAACACGTATGAACCTATAATAAACACGTACGAACCAAGCGGGCAGGATCAACACCTCTCAGGCGACGCTTCTCTGGTATCCGGTCTTTCATCTGGGTTAGGGTTAGGGAATAGGCGTATGCGACTCCCTAGACTCGTTAGTGGAGTAGGCGAGGTACGGTCCGGCATATTAGATAGTACCTGTACCACTCCAGGGTACGTTCCGATATATCTAACCGTACCCAGGGTACCCTCCGATAGTAACCTGGGGGACATATAGACCCTCTCAGCGTTTCTAAGAGCCCATATAACTAGTGAAAACGACAACAGCAACAGGTGCTGTAAGCGTCGATCGTTAATTACGACACGTGAGTAGGCCCAAGTTTGTCGGTTATTTTACACGCGTCAGATTATTATTACCGTTATTATCATTGTAAGATGCGGGAATGGATGTACACTTGGGAAGATTACGTATCGAAAAAACGGCCCCGACATCCAGAAAAAATTTACCATTAACTCAGTCATCAATATATATTATGCATGAAATACTTTCAATATTTGAATACCATAGCGAAACGTTATATATATAAAAGAAACGTTAACGAATACGTATATACATGTGTGTGTGTGCGCGCGCGTGCGCGCGCGTGTGTGAGCATACATACGTGTGTGCGTGCGTGCGTGCGCGTGTTAGTGCATAAACGCAGGAAAAATTCAAATGAATTGAAAGACGTAATACAGTAAAATGAGGCTCCTACACTCTTAACTTATTTGACATCATAATCCCCTACTGGAAATAACATAATTTTTCGATTACATATTACTGAAATCGGCTATTTCTGTGCCTAACTGACATTTTAAAGCAGACAATAACTGAAGATCTACTGCATATTTTCAGTTAAACCGCGTCTCAAATATATCAAATTCAATATTTTGTGGTGAACAAATTACAACAATGTTTTAAAAACCGTCGAGTCGGTTACTTACAACCCCGTGGCACCTCCACGCACATCCAACGAAATTGTAGTACACAACTTTTCCGTTACAGGCTACAGACTATAAGGACCTTTCTTATTTATAGATCCAACAGATGGATCGCAATATCTTATATATCACTATTAATTTCAGTTATATTCTGCATACATTTATTACAGAAACTTGTTTAGATAAATAGTAGTTATGTATAAATATAATTACACTTTTGTAATTAGCTTCCAGTTTGAAACGTACAAAACAAAAAATCAAAAGCACAACTTCGTCAGTCTCATGGCAGCACCAAGGATTTCCCATCTTTGATGTTTGATATAAGTGATAACAGAAATATTTAGGCATATGAATTTTTTTATACAATACGTATAACAATATACTCTTTGTTAGTAGTAAAGTATAAAAGCTGTAAAATGTCATCTTTGACATGTTACACATATTTCTTTGAAGCACATTGTTTATTCATTGATAGTCCATCAGTTGTGCACTGGCCGGCAACGTCAATCAGTTGGGAGCATCTAGGATCTGTATTAGACATGTCTAGTACAGCTCCTTGGTAAATGTAAGTCTTAGATTTATCGGTGATAGCCGAGATAGCGGTGTACTCTCTGATACTGCAGGTCTTGCGTCAGTCACTGGTGTCGGCAAATCGCTGGCACCTGAGAAAGGCTCGCACGTAGTTCTACGTTGTGCAATCTCTCTTAGCAGTGCTTTGCCTTCTTCTCGTGTCTATGAGAAACAACCAGAAACATGATCAACTGTGAGCTAAACTAAGACACTTCTTCGAATAGTACACAATTCTTCAACGTATAAAATTACAAGTTTAAAGTAAACTTGTAATGCATCTTGGCACGAAATCGCTCCAGCGCCCTATATTTTCTGGAAATACGTGGTGAAAATGCAAATATATTTTGCAAAAATCCACCTGTCCTACGGCTAGTTTTTGTGTAAAATGCGATAGCCAAATGATTGTTAAACAGCTCTAAAAAGTAGCCGCATTGATGAGGTAATGTGGAAGATGGCTATGTAAGAAAGTTGGAAACCTCTGGATAGTCTGTGCATTTCTGTGCGTATGTGTAAGCCTCATCATACTGCTTGCTTCTCACGTGGTAGTTTGCTAGGTACTTGTATGCTTGGCTCTGTTCTTCTCTATCAGTAATCTAGAAACGCAGAAAAATATACTACAATTTTCTATATGCCACAATACGTACGTACGCACAATACGTTTTCTCCATTAAAAGATACATGGTATTATTATGTACTGTCATACTCCGATTTTTGAACAGAAAAATAAAATCCATAATTAATATACTAACATTTCTATATACAAAATTGATCTACAAATTGCAGTGATTCCAGTGTAATCAACACATTACCATTAATTTACTAGCGTTGATAATTCTTTCTAGCCATATAGAAGGAATATTACCAATAGGCTATTTCGGCTTCTATACACATCAGACGAATTTTTGTTAGATCATGAATCCATGATGGATGTACGACTCTGTCACTACTAGATAGTTATTGCCGTAATGTTGACTTTGTGCATGTATCGATATTTAATATAATTAATTAGCTGCATCGCTCTAGGATTGTGATTGTCCTGGTGTACTTACTCCTAAGGCTTCAGCTTCACTGATGTACTCTGCATAAGCTGCACATGCATGATCATCCTCTGCCAGCTTCTCGTATAATCTAGAGTAGGGTTAACGTAAAAAATTTCCTTCACTGAACTAGCAGCTTGGCAGAGAATGGGCAGCATGACAGAGAAGTGGCAAAACATATAGAATGGTTGAATTAAGAGGTGGTCTCGATTACCAACTGTAATCCTATGCACGCACGCACGCACGCACGCACGCACACACACACATACAAATACATTCACTCACAGAGTAGATTTTACAGCATTTTGCACCATGCGAGTTCACGTGTGTAGAACGTACATTCTCTGAGCAATCTCACTCATGTATTTTCAACACAATTCAATAAAGATTTCAATTAGCTCACCTTGCTAGTTTGATGAGTGCTAATCCCTCTAAATCTCCAACAGAGTAGGCTTTCCAGTAGCACTTCTTTGCCTCCTGCAGCCTTGGTCTTTCTAGCTTCTCATAACTTTCTCCAAGAGCCACAAGCATGCGCGAATCACTTGGTCTGTATACAACCATACTACACATCATCATCACAATCGTCATCATCTTCAACAGACCGTGATACAGAGACAGAATAATTTGTCAGCGATAGATATATGACGTTATCAATCAGGTCTAAACCCTTTATTTCTCTATTTCGTGACTTTTATTTCACTTTTAGCTATTAGAAGTTTTGGCATTATATGATGCAATTTAGCATATTATAAGACTATCAAATTTCAACCTGAGTTTCTGTGCTTCTCGGTAGTAGTAAAGACAGTAAAAAGGCATTTTCAATATTTCATATGTCTGGCCCAGTCCATACCAGGCTCTGTAGTCCTTCCTATTCACTTCTAAAATAGAGTGAAATATGATTAGCACCATTGAATTTGTTCCTCGTCTCATGCAAACAACATCCTGTGTGATGTAATCATGTTATACTATTAGGAGCAAGATAATAATTATTATCTGATAAAATAATTATTATCTGATAAAATAGTTTACTACTGTAGCAAGTTACTAGCAAGCATGCAATCACTGTCAAGTTTTTTACAGCCCACTGTAGCATTTGTAAACTGTGACGTATGTATGCACTACACTTACATTGGTTTCATAAAAAAAATGTTCCACTACTGATTCTGGTTGTCCTGATGAAAGAAACATGCACAGCTAAACACAATTACAGATTTACACAGCTGAGCTAGGTAGAGGATCAGACAAGAAGTGTATGTAATGTATACTTTTCAGACAGGTCTAACGTTTTAGCAGTTATGCAGTTACCAATAGCATGTCTATAGGCTTGTATAGCAGCTTGCGTATTCTTCATCTCCATGAACTCATGTCCCATTAACGTCCATGCTGACAAGTAGTTAGGATTTAATTTCAAGGCCCTTTGGAAACACAAGCCTGCTTTCTCATGTTGTGACCTTAAGCTGTAATAATTTCCTAAGAGAGAATAAAGCAGATTAGTCCTACCAATAAAAAAAGGAAAATAGTTTCATTTATCTGTAGATGTCATAACATAACCTGACTCAACAATATGTGAAGGAAATGAAAACTTTTACTTATGCAGGCCTACCTACCCAGCATGTGAAATAATGGGGTTGGCTAACACAAATGGGAATGCTTGTGAAGGTAACCTATGTGAGTCCGATTTACAACACCACCACTAACATGATTTCTCACAATATATATAAAAGTGTCATCCCTCTGTTGATCTTACTTCGCACCTAGTATGGTAACTTCTAACCACCTCTCTTCTATATTTATATTTCTCTCACCCATTCGCACCTCCCTCCATCACTTCTTCCCTCTCTCTCTGTCTGTCCTCATGCTCTCATGTCCACTATTACCTCACTCGATCCTCTTCCTCTATTTCCTTCTCTCTCTCTCTATCTCTCTATCTCTGTCTCTCTCTCTCTCTCTTTCTCTCTCTCTCTCTCTCTCTCTCTCTCTCTCTCTCTCTCTCTCTCTCTTCTCTCTCTCTCTCTCTCTTGTACTCTCTGCTTCAAAGACCACAACTCCGCTACGCAATGTCTGCTCATACAACAAGCAATCTTGAATTCCTACCTATAACACAGCTAGGTCCTCTACACGATACTTGTCAATCTCACACACATGTGCGCCAAGTGGCCTCAGCTCTTTCGACTGTCGTTCTCACATACAAACAGGTATTGGAGTAAGTGTCCATGTTATCAAGCACTGTAGAGGTCGACTTTCTTGCCAGCTGAGAACACAAATGCTGTCTACTGGCACTGGCTCAACTGCTATAGAACGGAAATACCATGGTACTCATACAGTGTCCCCTATTCAGTTTGGAGCAACGATTCCAGAAACAAGAGTTATTTAATGCTTTAGGGCACATTTGAGTTATATATTTTAGAGTACACGATTGATTAAACCTAGTTTCATACTAGCACTTATGAATGTTCATTCTTCGTCTGTCAGCGACAATGTTATTGACACTGGAGTCAAATAACTAATGACAACAGCAACTTACAGGGCTTTTCCATCTGGAAAACCTTGGTAGAAATTTTGTTTATCCTGTACTCACTCAGTATTTCACATAGTAGAAACGTTTTACCAAAGCCCTAAAAACTTGCATCAACCGGGTATATATAATAATAGTCATTCTCTTGTGCGTTGACTACATAGATTTCCTGGTATATTACCAGCCTAGTGGGAATACAAATTACACTGGCTGAGACCAACTTGCCACAAGGAATATCATCATCTCTAACTCTCGTAGTGTCTGTAAGCAGATTGCAATCTATGAGCCATGAGTAGGTGCTTGTGTTTGACATCCATATCTCTTGCAGCTGCGAGATAGAGCCGACAGTGCCTCTTCAGCTTCATCGTTCAGCTCGAGATAAGTAGTCGCAAGGAAGAAACTGCTGAATCCAGTGATCCTGAAGGCTGATGCTAGAGAGCCTGCAATGATAATTATGATCTGTCAAGGAAAATAAGTGTTCTAATAGAACAGTATTTATAAAACTTATTTTTGTAAATTTTTTTAAAAGTTCAAAATGAATCCATACTCTATCACAAACAGTAGATTGCAGGACAATGGGGAGACTAGAGAGGAGAGAGAAGGGACGATAGATGGAAGAAGAGAGAGAGAGAGCAACGTGCAAGAGACCGAGAAGAGAGCGAGGAGAGAACACGAGAGAGAGAGAAGAGAGAGAGAGAAGACGAGAAAGTGAGAGGATAAGTGGTATTTAATGAAACACATTTGTAGTTACACGTTAAGAGTTATTGGTAAGAGCTAGATTATTTTACAGCACTACCATATCCTTATCAGTAATAAGTGTAGCCAACTCCACCCATGCTCCCCAGTGAAGCTGGCCTTTCTGAATTGCCTCCTGAAGGGATGTTTACCCATCTAATGTCAGATCTAGCTTTCGCAAAACCACACCGTACCGAGTCGGAAACCCACTCATATTAATGACACAGCCTAACACAAGTTTCCATATTAGTGCCCCACACTTGAAACAGACATGATGTAAAGGACTGGAGGTCACTGATTTATATACCGTATATGATCGCGTAATCAACCGGGCGCCTATAAGCCGCACCTCAAATTAGAATCGGGTAACCAAGTATTGGCCTCAGTATATTTCCCCTCACGGTATGGCGCACTTATAACCGCAGAGCAAATACAGGGTTGAAATCTGAGGCCAAATTTGCGGTTATTACGCGAGTATATACGGTAACAGATACTATCTTACAGGTAAAGGCAGAAGCCGTCTAGTGTATCTGCGGTATGTCGTTTCTCTAGCTCACACCGCAGCTCCCTCAGGTAATGGTTGCTCGTTTCAGGAACTGAAACTGAAACAGTAGCCTTATTATTCAGTTACATGATCAGCACTTGCGTCATTGTATATTATTTTATTAAACTCATAATAAACACTGCCCATGGAGGATACATGATAGTAAGAGGGCTATTTTGGCTGAGAGGGTCTATGTAGCCCAGGGCAGGGTACTGCTGGAACGTTCCCTGGTACTATCTAATATGCCGGACCGTACCTAGCCTACTCCACTAACGAGTCTAGGGAGTCGCCTACGCCTACTCCCTAACCCTAACCATATCAGATAGTTACCAGGGTACGTTCCGGCAGTAACCTGGGGACATAGACCCTATGAGCGCTATTTTGGTATCAGCTCGACTAATATTTCTGCACAATTTAATCAAATAACTTATCAAATAGTATTTGAATTCGAGTAACATCAGATTTGTTACACTATAAACATTACGCTTTCGTATACCATCTATGTGAATGTATCACATTTACCACTGCACTAAGGATCATAAGAAATTTGCAGCCCATATTTTTAATATGATCATGTTAGTATGTAATAACAATAAATTTTTGCAATGCCAAAAGAAGCAGCCACAGAGTATCAATGCAAGCCAATGAGAGAAAACATTACAGCACACTATAAAATAGTTTTTCATATAAATGTTGATTTTTTGGTTTTAGTGGCTTTACCTTCTGTTAATCAGTAATGAATACTCAAAATACATACCAAGGGTTTCAATGCGATCATCATTTTTACGTTTTTCTCCTGCCTGTAACAAATCAGAAAGCATAGGCGTCACTAAAATGTTTAATTCCACCTACTGCTGCAAGCTTAATTTCCAAAGTTCTATCTAAGTTAGGTGATGAATAAAAAGGTAAGAAAGGAAACATGCTCACCATATATCTTGAGTAAATGTGTAAGAAGTACAGCTTATCACTCTTCGCAAATGTAGTAAAGAACGCTGCCCGGTCATACTCTCGCAGATCAAAGTAGTTCTTAGCCAGCAGGTATCTTTCATGTTCGGCTTCTAAACCCTACAGACATACACTCATGACATCAGTATTTAGTTGATGTGGCAGGGCGTAGACAAAGATTGCACAACTGCAGTCCTGATGCAGGCTGATTATTGTAGGAAGAGTGCAGCTTAAATTACATATTAGTCCGACGACCACTGTCACTTTAGACAGTGCTTTGATTTGTCATCTATCAAACTTAAAATGTCCTACCTTTGTCTCGCATCCTTCATCCATGGGTTCACAGGAAACCTCTTCTAAAGCAAAAAGTAGCTCAGCTAGCCTGCATGAAAATAAGTAATTTACTGACTGCAGGTTTAGGAAAGTATAACAACGAGTTAGATGAGGACAACGTGCAAGAATACGAGGCTGAGAAGAATGAAAGTAGATTACTGGGAGGTGGGAAGTATAGAGGCAGGAGTGCTTGCTGTTCTGTCTGTTTTCTCCCTCATCTGTGCTCACACCTTCCTTCCACCAACCTTTCCCCTGCTATCCTCTCCATTTCTTGCCTCCCCCTACCTCCCTTCTTTGCCCTTCCCCTTCCCATCAACCTCCACTTCATTCTCTCTCTCTCTGCTCCTCTTGCACAGCCGTCCTCTTCGCCTTCTTCCCCCTCTCGTCCAATTATCACTATTAGTAGGGGTTCTAAGCTCCCAAAAAGAGGTAAAGTGTTCACTTTTTGATAAAAGCACCAAATTTGGCAC